CATATCTGAGATAAATGATGTGAATACTATATTTTTGTGAATGAAAGACACAAGCTACAGTAGATATCTCTTTTTTTTCATAAACCTCAGTACATTTCAATATTATCTAATTTAATGTCACTGTAAAATAAATTCTTGTTCAAAGAATAGACAAAATGATTTTTAAAGCTGATTATTTTTTGAGTGTGTAGGGTTGGTATTGTTCATAATGAAAGTATTACTGGATTGGTTTTCAAGAAATGTGATTACTGGTGATTTTTAAGACTTTAATCTTCAACATTCAGTTTGCCATTCTGTTCACCCGCTACTTTTCAAACTAGGATTCAGTCTGTGGTAAACAGTACATAGCTTATTTGGAAACAAAAGTTTCATGACAGTGTGGTGCCCTGTTATGATTATTACAAACAATGAGAATATGATGTTTCTGGGGTAGCTGTAGTATTTTGAGATGTATTATTAAACCATTAATAGAAACTAGGCATTTCTATGAAGAATACTGTATGTTCACATGTACAATACCTACTTGCTGCTGACAGAGAAAAGACTATTTACTAGTTATTGGGTTTATGGAGTTGAAACTTCAGCAAGTTTTAATGTCCAATGTATTAGTTTTATGCCAACTCTGTCGGTGAGATGTCATTATAATTAAAAACACTTCAGTAACAATAAGATTATCTGAACTAAGCTGTAGTTACTGATAAGCAGTGTATTACTTGGAATATTGTGTTCAGTTGTGGTCACCAAACTATAAAAAAGATATGACTGCTTAATAGGCAGTAGTAAGGACAGCACCCAGAATAATTCCTGGTCTGAATAGAGTGTCATCATCTTAACACAGGATACTTCTTCAAGATGTGCAGTAATATAAGGACCTGGGAACACAAGAGCCAATTAACCTTAAATATTTTAGGACAGCAGCAGGAGAAACTTTTTTACACAGAGGTTTGTATGTTCAAGATGACTCTGTGGAGACATGGCTTAATGGAACTCTTGCATCATTAAGTTACCAACAACAAGTGAAATGGATGAGCTGAAAGTCCACCTTTTGATTGTACTGATGTTCTTGTTATTGTACTGAACACATGGCAAAGAGATTATGTTTATCCTGAAATTTGAGAGTGGGCATTGATTCAGACAACTGGCTATACTGAAGATACTATTTCTACTATTATTAGAATATTTGTAGATGAGTGACTTAACGCACTGTAAAGAGACTGAGTGAGGCAGAGAGACAGGCAAGACTACCTCACATATAATCTCCATTAGAATCTCACTGTTGGCTAAATAAACTACTTTTATTCTCAGTTTAAAATTCTAGGTATCCATCTCTTCTAAAATAATTGTAATAATGTTGAAGTGAAAGCAAAGAAGAGAACATCTACAACTGATAAATATAAAGAATTTAATAAATGATAAATTGTAACATCACGCATGGAGTTAACTGGTGAAATCCAACATAGCTTATGTAAAAATGAAGCATTTTTTTATTAAGCTACAAGGCTTTAAGTTAAATTGCATGTATTACTTGTATTACTTCAACAACATATATTGAAACATGCTTTCATAAACTTCTTAGCTCCAGAACACTCTACTGTTCTGTTTGTGGTGTATCCCTTAGGAATAATTTTCATGCATTACATTAAAAAACAAAAACAGCAAGGGGAAACTTCCAGGCCAGCTCAATAGATCGCTACCTAATCATCCACGCATATCTAATCTCTCTGTACTGTAGATGGCAAATAGTGAACCTTCCCACTGTACTTGCATCTTGTGTACTGTTTGTGTGTAATGTACACATAGCCATGTTATTTTCCTTAAGAATCAAACTTTAGAATTATCACAGAAGTATATGTTTATCAATAATGCTGTAATTAGATCTTTTTTGTCATTATCCATGGAATTAGTCCAGATTGAACTGCTGTAATATTAAGCTTGCATGTTAAGCCCGTTTTTCAGCTGCACATTGTATAAACATCAGGTTAGAGTTTAATATAACAAAAAAGTTGCATAATTCCCCAAACGAATTAAATTCTTTTTGGACTTTTCATAAAAAGAAGGCTGTAACATACACATAAGGAAGTGATTCAATTTTCTGAACTCCCTTTTTCTTTCCTTTTTGCAGAATGTCTAGCATGCATAGTGGGGCAAAATATTCTTTTAGCTGTATAAATGGTCTTGCAAAGCTGTCACAATTTCTGGGAAGGTCTGACTTGCAGAATACAATATGTAGAGTAAGGTGTGAGATCAACAACATTAACATATGTATTTGCTTTGTCACTTTGTTTGGTGTCCCATAAGAATGAAAAATGAAATGTATGATGTTTTAACTGCCTGTCTAGTATGATAATAAAGCATTTATCTGTATCAAATGTATTCCTAATTTGTCCCAGGTATTTTCTGTGAGGTGCACTCCTTACACTTGAGTTTTGTGTGTCTCCAACTGAGCTTGGGTCATTAGAGAAGAATGAAAAACAAGTGTTGTTTAATCCCTCATCATTGACGAAACTGACAAAGTATTCAGGCAAAGATAGATCTAAAATGTGTTTATTGCCTTCATAATTGCTGTTGTATTGCATAGCTTTTTCCCCTCCATGGCAATTTCTAATTGCTTCAGCAAATAATTGTTGTTGCTGAGCAGTGCAATCCATAAAGTCAAGCTGATAGTTGCCAGTTGGGATAGACTAATTTATTACCTAGTTGTAATCATAGATCAATAAAATGCAATTACATGTGGCATTCCCACATTCAGTATGTAATAATGCTCTGCTCTTAGTCCAAGTTTATTGTAAGTTCAGCATGGCTGATACTTGTTTCAAGACAGCAGTGTGATAGATTAGTTTTAAAGTGAAAGTCTAGCAGAAGGCCGTTTAAACTGAAACAACAAAGATGGGCTTTAAGTTTATATGGAGGAGTTTTAGAGTATTATTATGCACACAATCTGTTTAGATTCTGAATTTAGAAAGCTGAGCAGGAAAACACTAACTGAGTTTAAATCCCTAAATCCCACAGTTTTCCCCCCATAGATAATATTTTCCTTAGATTAAATTAAAATTAGTTACTTTTAACATTTCTAAGCAAGTGTGAAAAACTAAACCAAATTTTGTCACTGAAAAGGCATTCTGATTTAATGGTTTTTAAATATTGAAACATAAATACTGAAAAATGCAGTATGAAACAATATGCAGCTGATTGAATCCATTAATGATGAGCCAGGGCTCATCATTACTCTAGCTTCCCAAGTGCCTTTATTGTTTTTTTAGCTAATGTAATATTATAAGACACAAACAATTCCTCAGAGTGCTGACTGGTTACAATTCTTCTGTAAAGCTACTGCTATAAAGCAGAAGATTGGCTTTCGTTTTAGAGTCTCCTTTTACCATTAATTTGGACCCAAAATCTTTCCTCAGTCTATGATTCCATATATCTTCAAAAAAGAATTGAGAAATAAGTCATTGGTCATTTGAATAACCAAAGGTGTTTGTCTTCATTTACAAATATCATTTATACAGTTGTTAGCATCTTAAGTCTGTTTTCTGTCATGTTCTCTAAGGCACGGTTAGTGTCCTGAGCTGCAACCCAGATCGCACCCTAGTTTTTAATCAGCCTAGAAATTTTAAGAAGTAATAAAACGCCTTCAAACTTGAATAAAACCAGTTCACAATTGGTCCAAAAATAACTCGTAACACATTTACACAGACAATGTTGGAAATACTGTACAGTAGGTAAAGCATAAGAAGACTTTACTTTCTTTTTATCATTTGACAGTAAAATACTATCTCAGACTAACCTGTCAGAAATAAGAATCAGAATTTTATTTGAAGATTAAAAACTTAGGAAAAGTGGTAGCATTATTAATTGTAAAATCATAATGAGAAATCATAATTATCATAAATCATAATGAGTTCTCCTTAACATGTTTTGTTGAAAAAAGTGATACAATTTTATAAACAGTAATACAACGTGCAAAATGAAAAACTGAAAAAAATAATGTAATGGATATTGTACTTCAGTGCTCTGACTGTAGTTTAAAGGCTTGGGTTTAAATACCACCTATGAAAGGTATCTAATTTCACTGAATGATGATTCTGAAGTTGGTCCCAATGGGAACAATTCTGCCTTATATCCTCACCATAGACAAAGAAAAGTTCACTATATATAGCAAGTGAATCATTTGAGATACAACCTCAGCATGATGTAGAAGGCATGTTCTGACTTTAGACCTAAAGTCATTTAGCATTTAAAGACTTTGGGTTTAATCACCATACATTAATATGAAGTTCATGTGCTTGTAAAAATTACAGTGAGTTATGTCCACAAATTTGAAAACCGAATTATTGTTGTATACAATGAATTATCCTTATTATTCTGAAAGCAAAAGCCATCAATGGTGCAGAGATCACAATGCCAGTTAAAGGAAAGCTTAAACAATATAAAATTATTACAAAATAATGACATTGTGCTTTATGTTGTCTGATTTTCCTTTTCTGACTTGTTTGTGACTAGGCTAAAATTAGTCATCTTCTGAGATCTAAGAAAACTTGATTGAGTGACTACATGGAAATTAGAGTTTTCTACAGAGAGAGAAGCCTTACATTGTTCAATACCGTATTTCATGCAATAACTGCATTGTTATAATGAATTACCTATTATTTTATTAAAGAAAAACATTGCTTGATATTTAGACATACATATTTACTGTATGTTTTGTAACTCATATGCCATATGTATTTTATTAAAAATTGAATACTCATTGTTAAGCAAAATGTATAATACAAGCCATACGAATAGGTCACCGTGTGGCTTACATTGAATCTTACTGTCAGTTGTAGCTTAAATGATTTTATTTCATGCCTTATTTGCTTCACTTAGAGGCAGGGTTGGAATAGGGGTATTAAAGAAGTACTGTTGATAAAATATGGATGTCTTTGCACACTATAGAGAAGGAATTTTCCATTGTTAATTATTTCTCGTTTTGTTTTCTTCTCGTCATTCTTCTGCAGAGAGATACAAAAGGCCAGTTTCTTTTGGACCATGTTTGCAACCATTACAGCCTCCTGGAGAAGGACTACTTTGGCATCAGATATGTTGACCCGGAAAAACAGAGGGTAGGTAATAAAAACCTCTAACAAAAAATATAAATTGCTTGAACCCCTGTGCCTTCATTGACTGTGCAAGATTCGCCTGACTTTCTTTGTAATTTAAAATGATACAAAACTTATATTTTCGGTTGGAAAAATGACAGATAGAGACTTACTGTACCAGATGGGAAATTTGCATTGCAGGCAGGTACAGTAAAAGGTACAGTAATTCACAATACATTATCACAACATGAGCCCATTAACAAATAAGAGACATACATTTATAATGAGAAAGAAAAAAATATATAAGTCAGGTAAAACATACAAACAATTAAAGTGGTTAATAGCTGTGGGAATAAGTTAACTTAGTTTTATTGCACTTTAAAGTGGTTAGTCTAAATTGACACCCAGGTGGAAGGAGCTCAAATTCGTGGTGCTCATGACCATCGATGATTATACTGGCCTTCTACATAGATTTCTGACAGCTGTAGCTCTTGTGCATTGATAATTGTGATTATTGTGAACCTTAGGTTCAATAAAAAGTTCTATAGACTGAAGTAATTGTTGTACTACACACAAAATAAAGAAAGAATAGAGATTTTTCAGGAAGAACAATCGATGTTGGCTCTTTTTACATGTGGCATCCATCTTTTCCTCAAAGCTTAGGTTGTAATAAGCAGTAGTGCTAAGCTATTTCTAACTTTTGGCAATTTCAATTTCTTACTTCTCAAAGACTGTTGGTTTTGCAGCTAGTGGTTGCTTTCTATAATCAGTGATCATATATTTGGTTTTTGACACAATTCAACAAAATAATCCACCTCAGGCCCATGATCAGAGTCTCAGAGGAGAATGACAAGGACATCAGCAAACTTGACGATGTGCATGTCCTCCAAAAGACAACACTGCAGACATTACCACTAAAAGTAAAATGATTAAAGGCAGTTAAAGCTGTCATACAAGAAGTCTGTAATTCACAAAGGAATTAGAATAGGTGGAATTAGAAGACCCAAATTTTAATCAGCCTATATATATATATCCATGTATTCAACACAATTCTTTTGCCATGGGATGGTGGTGATTACGGTACACACCTTTCCTTTTTCAAAGAGTAAGCTAGAGGAAAGTCTTGAAGACATCATTCAGACAGTAAATGACACATTTAATATGACTGAAAATACTGTAAAATGTCAAATAGGTCCTTTTAAGCATTTTACCCTGACAGAGGGATCTACTGTAGCAAGCAATGGTTCCTACACTTGACTCAATATAGGTGGATAACTATGAGGGTCTGATGTTGCTTGTTTCATTTTTCAAGAGATTATTTGAATCCTTCTGACCGCCGTTTCTGGAAGCTTACAAAGTGTGAGTATTCATAAAGGTCCTTCTGTGAGGTTAATTTAATGTGTAGTACATGAGGTATTTATCTGCCATCATAGAGAAAGTATTGTTATTTTATTGCATGGGTGGCTTAGAACTATGTGCCTTTCTCTAAAACAATTCCACAGCAAGAGAAAGTGTGTCTGGGACTGCCTTACAGCTGGTCATTGTATGTCTCAGCCTCCTAGTTTACTCCTACATGGAAACATTGATGACAGCTGAACGCCTCCTACATACTCCTACAAATTAATCCTCTCACTCACAGGACTGTAATCCACTATTTAGCGCCCTTTTTTCCCTTTTAACTTGTAAGAGTGACGTTTTGTATTTTGCCATGAGGATGGTGCTTGTGCTTCATACTGTTTTTAGATTTGTGGAAATAAAATAGCTAATCTTCCTTTATTCGATTCTTCTGTAATTTACTGATGTGGGATCAGCTCCAGGGACAAAAAAGAACTCTTTTGTTTGCCCATTTTCATAGAATGACTTGAAAACATGGTAAAAGCATAAGCTCTGACAGTTTTAGGTTTGGTTACCATGGAAATGTAAGACAGGAAAGCTCCACAGTAGTTTCCCAATATATCTGATGTTTCTCAGAAACAACCCTCTATCTGCCGATCCTAGTAACTAATTGTAAATTATTTACATCTCTTTATATTTCAATATTAATGCTTATATGCTAGATTTATGCACCGTTAAGCCCAGGAGACGTAGTACTGAATCCTGAACACAGAGAACCTGTTTTTAATTGGTGAGAGAAACAACATGACTCATAAATGATAAAAAAATGTACCATACTGGAATGATGCCTTTATTTATGTATTTATTTAAAAAAAGGATTAAACTGAAGTAAAAACATAAAAATATTGTTAATAAACTGTACACCTACATCAGTGATAACATTTATTCTAAAACAAATAATAGATTTATTCAAATATTTCTTTTTATACAGAAAGAATAATAAAGTCTGAAAGAAATCATTTTAATCTGTTACTATGTAACAAAATGCAAAATTAATCAGGCTGGAACAAAAATTCTTTCATCACTTGATTGTTTTATATTTTGGTCAGATAGGTTTCTTACCTTAAAGATTTTTCCCTTCTTTTGTTTGTTTAAATGTGTGAGAATTCCATTCTTTGGATAGACAAGAAACCTTGTTATGTAAAAAACATCTTTGCATCATGTATTTAGAGTCATAATGAAACACAAACCCTTTACCCTCTGCTCAGGGACCTGTAGATACTTCATAATTGTGACTGTCTGTTTAAGTAGATTTAGAATTCAATTATCTTAGTAAAGTTCGTATAATCAGTGATATTCATTTTGACATTTCTTTGGTACATTACTCTTTGTTCCATTGAGTGGAAAGCTTTTGAGTCACATAAAAGAATACTGATTGCCAACATTAAGTACATGCAAATACGTTTCAGTGTGCCATTTAAATTAAAATTTTGATTTTCTGTTTTAATGTGCAACAATGTTGCAACATTTCTCAATTAAAATGCTTTTAAATTTTAAGTAATAGTTTCTTCAGCATGTGGACATTTTTGAAGAGCATCCAACTCATCCATTAACTGTCACAGAAATTAAAGCTCTATTTCATCATTTATTTCTGTTTGGTGACATTCCATTTCCAAAAAAAAAAAAAATTGGCATTCTTACCAAATTCCAATTCAAACATAATCCGTTACTGTTGTATACTGCGTACACCCCTTCCAATTAGGGGCTCCATTTTGTTGATTTACTTAATGATGTATGTACCTCTGATTTTTGAAAGTGAATATTTTTAGTAAAAACTTGAATATTCAAACTCCTTACAAAATCTGATGAGTCCGTAAGTATTCAGCCCCTTGAGTCAGTACTCACCTGCTTGACAGCAGTTGCAGCTGTAACTCTTTTTGGAGTAGTCTCTTCCAACTTTACACATCGGGATCGTGCAACTTCCATCCCAGTTCCAGTTTTATCTCATCATACCACAAAATTATTTTGCCACATGTCTGCATTATCCCTTAAATGCTTTGTTACTAATGGCTTCCTTCTTGTGATCTGCCCCAATGGCCACCTTAAACTCATGCACAGTTTCTCCAGTCTCAGCCATAGACCTCTGTAGCATTTTTAGCTAACCAGCTTACCATAAATGTTTAGCATTCAAGTTTTGGTTAACCACTTTGAATAATTTGTAATTCAATATAATGGGACATAATTGGAAAGGGGCAAATACTTTTGCAAGGCACTGCCTATGAGCCTCATTAACTGCAATGCTGCTTTAATGTAATTAAGCTCAAATTATTTTGGATTGTCAGGGTTCTGTAACCTTCTTTGGGTATTACTTTTCCTTATTCAAAAGATGAAAATAAATAAAAATGTATGGCTTGGAAAATTAAAATGTACTTTTGAAATGTAATCAGGATATTAATATCACATTCAAATTTACCATTAACACATTTTTAAACTACATTTCATAAAGGGGGGGTTACATTTTTTCCCAGTCATATCTGACAAAAAAATAATCACGAATTTATATCAGAATCTTCTTTTGTTTACCATAATTTCACTGCATTGTGGCTGAATTTTCAGAAATGCCACAATGTTTACTTTCTGCACTGGCACTGCAGAAATGTGAAGCATCCAGAACTTGCTACCTCAATAAATTATTTTTGCTAAGAAACTCTTTAGACGAACTAATGCTCTGTCCATTTTTCTCTTTCAGCACTGGCTGGAGCCCAACAAGTGCATTGTGAAGCAAATGAAATGTAAGTGTTGGTGGCTTTTTTTCTGTGTCTGTTAAAAATAGACGTTGCTTTAAAACATTTGGCCAGATGGTACAGGCTTATTTCTGTGACAGACTGAAACACTGGAAAGGATTAGGTATTTTATGGTTTACAGCACATTTGAATATGTTTAGAAGGTCTTGGTTGAGAGTCATTAGTGTCTGGTTATAAAGATATCGGCACAGGATGTCTATAATTATTTGACCCTGCAATTGTTTACCCCAGTGTTTAGAATTATTAGTTAATTTGAAATATTCTAATTATTAATCCAATGGTACATGTGTCTCAGTTTTATTTAATGTGAAATCTGTTTTTTAGTAAGTGCTTGATTCATCAATGTTTTATTCAGGACTACCTGAAAAGTAGAATTTTAAGCAATAAAAAAGGGGAAAAGAAAGAGGCAAAATATGAGCTTGGTCACATAACATTTTCTAAAAATTGTGAATTTCTAATTACATAAATGCATGTCTCATGTAACCATAAGTAAATTAAATATTAATTTACATTAATCAGGATCTTTCTGAAAATTGTCCTGAGGGTGTTTAAGCTTTCCTAAAAAATAATGTACTCAGTTTTAGAATGACAGCACATTTAGAAAGAAGACACACAATTGTCTGTTTTCTGGATTACAACTTGAAATTGTTTTCAATGCAAAAACTGCACGGACATTATTTTGTTTATATATATGTACATGTATAAATAAGCTTGGTTTTAACCTTGCAAAAAGATTGTGACAATTATCTGATGTTTTCATTGCATTGCAGTGTTATACACCATGTCTGCATTTCACATTTTACCACAAAAAAATTCTAGACTTACTTTTTTGTAACTGCTTGCAAATATGTGTGTGTAGAAGGAGGATTCATTTAAACTGCAGAGGTTATGCTTTGTTAAGTAGTGATGGGTGCCAATGATTTGCAGTCTCACTGTACTCTTGTACAACTGTACTCTTGTGCCTCTGACTAGTGAAAAGCCATGCATATTTAAAAACTGAAAACAGGAGACACCTTTATGCAGAGGTTTGTCAGAATCTGGAAAAAGGCTGTCCATCCATGTTGTTCCATGTTGTTTAAGTCTGTCTTGTTTAAAAAAAGAAGACATCCTTCAATCACTTAGCTACCAGCAACAAGATGCATTATATAGATTGATTGCCTCCTCTCATTTGGAACCTTTTTATGTTCTTATGTAAATATGGAAAAACAAGGCTTAATATCAATCAACTTCCCTTTATGTCTTGATGCTATCATCCCTGAAAATGATAAGAGAACTGTTTTTGGTAACATTTTACCATGCTAAAGGATATGATATTGTGGTGAATATGTGTGTAGGCTTGCAGATACCTTTGAATTAAAGATGATTCTAAAGATCTGTGACTGAAATCCTATTATACTTGTTAAGGATAGTATTTTATTTATTTTCCCTGGATCATTTTTTAAAAATATGCTGTCGGTGTCCTTGATATAATTATCATAATGTGGTAAAACTAACTTTACAACTTACATGATTTTCACATTTGAAGGAGAAGTCTTTTTTAATTATCTCACAGAGAAATCCAACTAAATTTACAGATTTTGCAGAAAGACGCTTTAAAAATGTAAAAAGACAGCTCAAATATTAAACCTTTTCAGTGTGTTTTGAAAGTATTCTATATAAAAAATGTATTTTCTAAATAATTAACTTAATAACTGCTTTACTAAAACTCATTTTAACCTCATTGTTAATACCCCATTTAACTCCATCCATTAACTGGAATTTTCCACTCCAATACATTTTTCTTTCTTAATCAGAATATACAGCAGCATGTACCTTTTCAGTGATCATTTTCCTAAGGTATCTGCTTTTAGCGCAGCATGGTGGTTTGGTGATTAACACTGCTGCCTAGCAGCGTTAGGCCCCAGGCTTGTTGTAGGTCTGGGCTACCTTTTGTGTGTGAAGTTCCCATGTTTGTGTGGCTTTCCCGTGAGTGCTGGCTAGGTTATTAGGTACAGTAATTAGTGTCTCTAAAATGACTCCTTGTGCTTGCTTGTGTGTGTCCTGCAATTAACTGGCAGCCTTTTTCTAAGAGAAGTCCTGTCTTGTGCCCAGAGCGTCTTGGATTGCCTCCAGTTGGCTAAGACCCTTAACAGCACTAAGCAATTAACTGATTATGTATGACTTTCCGATATTTTTTTATCAATCTGATTAAGGGTGGGTAAAATGAGTTCTCTAAAGGATGACAGAGAAGAAAGGGGATCTCTTTCACTGAAATATCCGTTGAGAAAATTCCTTTTTCCAGGGAGTCACGGATTCAAACAAACATTCAAAAGGAATAAATATGTAAAAAAAAAATTAGAAACAGAGATGTATTTTAGTAGTAATTAATGGGATTTTAAATATGAAAATGAGTCTCAGGTGTATCCTTTTTGAATTAGTAAAATGTGTGTTTGTTTTATTTAAAGGTGCGAGTGGGGGGGGGTGTAATTTATAACTGCATGGTAAAATACTGAAAATCTTTTTAGACACTCTCACATTCACTTTTAAAGCAGGACCTTTCAAACACACTCCACAGTTCTAATACAGTATTGCCTCTCTAGAATCAGTCCAGAGTGACCTGATACATTATCATTCTTAGAGGGATGTTGTACTCTAACAGGGTTAAAGAACAGTATTACGAGGGAAGTATTCAAAATACTTGATGTATTTTTATGTAAAAGGTTGCGGGAGTTTGGAACAATGCTATGAATGTTTAAATCAACAATCTCCAGCTCTGGTCCTGCAGACCCACAATCCTTCAAGTTGCAAGGTTCCCCAACTCTGGACTTTCAGAAAACCATCTGGTTTTCTGTCTCTATAAATCTTCAACAACTTAAGGCTTTGAAGAAGGGATAAATTACTCCAAATTACTCCAATTAGTTTTTATTGAATCAATTTAACACTTTTCCCTGGAGAAGAGCTACTTCTAACTTGAGGAGAAAGAAAACCACTTGATTGCACGCTCGGAGGACTGGAATTGGGAATGCCTTTTTATTGGAATCTTGAATAAACTACTAAAGATGATGAATGTTTTCCTAATTAAGGCAGTAATTATTACAAATTAGTAAATAAAAGCTTGGAAGGAATGAACCAAATGAGAAGAATCTGCAAGATGCGGGCATTGAGGATGCAGAGTCCTGTTACCACAGGCTGTTTACCATTTGTAAAAAAACCAATACAATTGTGATTCAACTGTGGTTTACCTTTGATAAGACCCACTTTAGGAATAAAAGTTTGTTTGATTATCTGTTCTTATATGCTCTTTTTCAGCTCATTCACCATATACCATGTGCTTTAGGGTGAAATTCTACCCCCATGAACCCATGAAGATAAAAGAAGAGCTTACCAGGTATTTGATTTGGCTATGTTGCTAATAATAACTCTCATCTGCAAAGGACAGGAGAAGAAAAATAAGTAAAATAAAATGAGCATGTGACTGATCAGCTGTACTATTTACATTGTCATAGTAACCATAAAGTGGTACTGTAGAATAGGGCTACTCAAAAGGCAGTTGTACCCAGATGGAAAAACAATGAGAGAAAACAGGGATTTTTTAAATACAGTTAACTTCAAAGAAGAGATAAATCAAAAGCTTTCAAGATTTTGTAACCTCTTTTAGGTAGATAAAGTAATGAAAAGGATAAATGGAACACAGATCTACAGATGATCAAATTCATGGGTCTTCTTAGAAGTGCAATGTTTGTACTGTTAAGTAGTGCAATGCGTTTGTGTCATCATGTGTATTTTGTCGTAATGAAACTAAACTGAAACTAAACTCAATATCAGTGATTTAAAAAAAACTTCAGGGAAAGAAAGATGAAGATTCTGCTACATGTTTTGCACCTTAAGGAAAAGAAAACAGACTGTTCTTGCTAAGCTCAGTAAATTCCAAATTTACTGTGTTTATTTATATATTTACCTGGTACTTTATATAGTCAGATGTATTTCTTACTCTTGTCAAAAATTCATTTTCAAGAAATATTCTTTTAAAATATAACAAAACAATTATAAAAAGAAACTCATTGTTTCTTGTATGGTGTGTTACAAATAGTTCTGCAGAAATTAGGAAGATTTAGAGATAGGGGTGGAGAGATTTTGACCTCTAAGGTTAATACTATAGGCTTTGGTTTAAAATATAGTTTGTCTGTGTAAAAGACAAGTGATAAACTGCATGTTTGTTTTTCTTGCATCATTAATTCTTAACAGAGTTATTTTGAACAACTGCTGTATGACCAGATGGAAAATACAGATGGTTACACAATGCCCCATTTGTCAAATGTCAATGTTTGGTGAAAAGCTGGAATCTGCTTGAGAATGAACATTAGACATAAAAGCATGTATATATCTCGTAATTTAGTTACAGTAGCTTTATATATATTATTTTATACAGTACATTTCCTTAATTGACCATTATATAACCGCACAAAAAAGACACAAAAATCTTCAAAGGCATTGCAAAGAACAACACATTTATAAGAACTAAGATCACACAAAACATTTTTTTGCAATATTTTCAAATTTCATTTTTGAATTTAAAATAAAAAATGCAGCCACTCAAAGTATGTGACTGATTTGATCTCTGTGATGTACTGTAAGTAAACATACAGTAGCTAAATAGCATCTCTCAAGTAAAGCCCTTTCTTGCTAGTTTGAGTTTTGTCAAAAAGACAAGTGTCAATCATTCTATCAAAGTAAGTTTAAGAGTACAATATATTCAATTAAATTGTTAAAGAATAAGTGCATAGTTTTAGAAAACAATTGCTTAATAATAAGATAAATGTTGAGAAGAAACAGTAAGTTGCCATGAGGAATTTAAGTCACATTCCATACAGTAAGTTACTCCCTTTGAAAATGAATTTAATGAGCAAAGTAATGTTATGGTTTTGGAATACATTCAGATATCCTCAAAAAGATAAATAATTTGTATGCAAAGCTAAGCATTGCAAAGATAAAATACTCAGATTTCCAATGCCTCATTGGCTCTAGATTTCATAATGACAAAAAACGTAATATTTAACACACCAAAAAAGCACGTTTATTGAACACAGGGTTAAAATGTTTTTTATAAAACTTATTTGTTCAAGGTCATTTCTGACAAAAATTCTTCTTCAGTCATTTAGAAAAAATTTAATTACAGTACAGTATACATATTGAATGAATTAAAAAAAAACATCTTGAGTCGTTAGAATAATCTTATTGCACGACAGTAATGATTTGTTATTACACAGAAATCCAGTACAAACAGCTGGAAAATTATTAATAAATACTAATCTTTTGAACTGACACTTTCTGTGTTTCTGCTGTCCTAGAGCATTGTTAAAATTAATTTTCAAAGGAAGAATAACACAGAGTACTTTATCTCTAGTCCTAAAGGGCCAGACAGTCCTGTGTTTTAGTTCCAACAGAGGTCTTAGATAATTGAACTAATTTCTCACTTAATTTGAATAACTGATATATTTTTGCTTCTTTAAAGGAAATTGTAATTTAAAAAACTTCCAAAGCCTGCCAAACTACGGCTCATGAGGATTGCATTGAGAAACACAGTAATAACAAGTATGACTGAACAAAAGCAAAGGTCTTACAAAATCTTAGTAAACAATAGCAATGAGACATTTTGAAAGTGGTCTGTGCATTTGACACATTTTAAAATAAAACAGAATCATGTCTCACTAGTTTTATAGCGAGACCATCGGCTGCGGTCTCACCGAGATTAAACAGCTCTATGAGGACCGCTGCCGTGGTAGAATTCTGGTCATCACAGAGGACAGTCACCACCCAGGGCATGAGCTCTTCACCCCACTGCCCTCAGGCAAGAGATATAAGAGCATACGGACACTTACCACTAGATTCTTCAATAGCTTCTATCCACAAGCAGTGAGACTGGCGAACACATTTAGCCATCCCCCTCGGACCACACCCACACCATCACCATCTACCTCATTGTAATTTATTTATTGTACGTCTCCAGTCATTGTTTACACGTCTGTATTGTTTACATTCAAACTGCCTGCATGTTTACTTGCACATTGTCTATTGTTTGTTTGTACATTGTCTTGATGCACTGTTTGCACTTTGTTTTGTTTTTTTACACTTGTTTTACAATCGAGAGACTTTCTGTAAGTAAGAATTCCATTGTACCAGTACCGGTTACATATGGCAATAAAGTTCAAGTTCAAGTTCAAGTTATTTTTCCAAAAGGAATTGATTCATTCATACTTTTTTCAGTTATTAGAGACTAAAACTAAAAAGTTTCTTTTTAAATCTAAATCTAAACGTTTTTGGAGACTATAGTTTGTGGTAACACTTCAGACAAAGAGTGCAAATATTTTGTTTTCCCAAATAATTCATTTTATGTAGTTTCCATTCCATAAAGGCGCAGAAGAAATGGTGGTTTGCTAGAAATGAGTAATCTTACATGCCTATAATCAAGTACTCAAGTGTGAGAGGTCAAATAGCAAATGGCCTGCTGCTGGACCAACTTTAAAAGGATATACTGTACATGTGGCATGAATGTCACTTCAATAACACTGTCATTTAGCACAGTGCATTTGGAATGGCCCAAAAGACAACTGAATTAACATCAAAGGCTTGTGCATGCCTTACTGTGATTAGATTAGTTATGAAATCTGGTGCTGTATTCTTTGCATTTTTTTTTTATTTTCGTCAAGCATCAATTAAACCTTATCAGTTTTATGACGCCAAGGACCAGTCTGAAGTATTTCAAAGTAAATACATTATGAAATTGCTGTTTTTTTTTTGATGGTGTGAGAGTGGAGAAGCCTTTGATCTCTGGAGTGGTGTTGAAAGCGGGGAGGGGGCATTGCTTTTGATCACAGTCCAATGCACAATGGAAAAGAATGCATTCCCAATGTTCGACTTCATTTTACTTCTGACAGTTTAATACAACACTTACACAGAAAGATTTGACGATACGTTATTGACGTTTTATCATTCAAAGTTGTCAGTATTATCTTTGGAATGGATATTGTTTTAAAAGACCTTTGACTACAATGAAAGATTCTCAATGAAAGTAATACATCTATCCATTAAAAAATGTTACAAAAACAAAAATGCGATGACAGATCAGAACTGTTACATTAGGCCTCCCAGCAGTTCAATTTAAAAACAAAGTTTGTTACCTCCACTGTAGGTTAAACACACCACTTTAATCACTGCTGTTCCTGTATGTTTTTTGGAGCACGTTGTGAATTAGGGTTAGGAATTTCAAATTCGGAGTAAAACTCTTTCAAGGTAATGAAATGTTATAGTTATAAATAAATGAAATAGTTATAAATCTTGTATGAAACCAATACATGCCACCCATATTCAACTATAGTTTTCAGATAAGCTTTACCATGGGAGCAGTGCATTTGAACATACTGCTGTTTTACATACTATGTGTCTTTGTGCCATATAACTCCTCTTCAGTGCTTCCATAGCAGATGACAGTGTCTGGAGAGGACCGAGTTGGCTGTATAAACCTATAATTCAAACGTCCTATGTCCAAAATTCAGCAGCCAGAATCCTGACCAGGTCTAGTGCAAGTGTTCACATTACTCCTGTCCTGGAGTCCTTGCACTGGCTTCCGATCAAATTCTGTGTAGACTGAGGTGCCAAGCACAACCTTGCAGACCTCCGCTCTTCAAATTCTGCCCTCCTTACTCTCCCCCAAGCCCGTCTACATTGTATGGGTGACAAGGCCTTCTCCTGTTATGCCCCCAAGCTCTGCAACTCTTTGCCCAAGGATATCAGAGAGTCACCTTGTCTAAACTCTTCAAATCCAGACTCAAAACACTCTTCTTCAGAAAAGCCTTTACTTAACTCGTTCCATTCTTCACCCCTCTGCTCTTCTTAGTACCATCCACGGTCTCCTCTATATATTGGAATTGTGTCTTATCTTGTGTATTCTCCTTATTTATTGTTATACTCTTCTTATTTATTGTTATTGTCATCCTGTAAAGCGCTTTTAAAGGTGCTATATAAAATAAAGTTTATTATGATTATTATAATGAACAGCCCCACAGGCTGACAGTGTTCTGAAATAGCTGGACTATATCAAATGCCCAGGGATACAGGGAATTTGCCACTGGGGTTTATGGTTTGTTTATGGTGTGGTGTGGGGGCTTGTGACATCTGACATCTTAACATCTGTATCTCTGAAGATGGGTTGCTAACTCTGGTTTGAATAGACAATGACATGAAGTAGTAAATTAGACAAAAAAAGTGTTTTTTAAACATTCCATTCCATTTATATATCTTGTTGTAATTAGAAGGCATTTCACATGACATGGCATTGCACTATATGCAATAGGTCTGTAAACATTAATCTGTAGGAACAATTCTGAATTT